CATCCGTTGCAAACGATACGGATGCAATCCGTTGCGGCGTACAGCACTGTACACCGCATGTCGGGAGAGACCAAGGGCATGAGCGACACAACGTACGCTGTTCCTCGGGTTTTCTTCAAATGCTTGTAGGATTCTTTCTTCATCTTCCACTCTTTTAATTTGAAACAGTGAAAATTCCACTGATTTCATCAGTGACCCAACATTTCACTGCGCAATCAGTGGATTACGATCAATTAACTGATGAAATAGTGAGACCCCCGCGAAAATCCCGCTAGGTTAAAAATAGCGATATAAGTGATAACTGAAAAGTTCGTTTTCAAGTCCGCTGTGTATGGATCAAATACATAGAGAATGGACTGCGCGATCCGTATCTAGGTAGTGTATCAAATGTGGTCGACAATAATGAGAGAGAGGAACCGTGGGAGATCACCGACCGTGGGCCAATCTTCCTCTCATTCTCTCTCCCATTACACCATTGAATGGAAAGAGATAGAAATAGCCGTCTGCCTCGGTCCCTCTCTCTCATCCCTATCGATCATTTTAATACACGGATCGCGCAGTCCATTCTCTATGTCTTTGGTATGGATATACATATGTGCAGTTTTAGTAATATCATCGCACCATAAACTCAGTCTTAAGAGGTAAGTACTACACTTAATTAATTATATAGTCGACTAATGCTGAAAATACTATTGCTATTATACACGCATAATCATATAACCTTCACATAACCTTTTTTTTTACAAGGGAGGAGAAAATCTTCACAATGCCCATACCCAAGGGGGGTCCTGGGGGCTCACCCATCTGGCATGGGAAGACCCCTGGCGACCCGTATCGCCAGGGAGTGTCGGATTCAACCGCTCTCTATGGATACCCCGGAACGGCTGCCTACCGACTAAAAACTCCCCCCCAATCTTACGTATTACCGCATGGACATAGATAGGAACGCCCCGGAACCACAATCCTGCATTACTTTGAGGTGTCCCTAAATCCAGGAGCTATGTGCTCGTCACCGCTGTTTTACGGGTATTCATCCTGTGCACTTTCGAAACGTGCATATTTCTATATAAAATCAATTAAAATTATAATTATTTTACATTTAAGGACAGCGTATACATATATCTATATACAAACTTATATACAAACACCCACACGCGTCCGCGGCGCTAGAGTTATTCTTCTGACTCTTCGTCCGTAGAGTCCATATTCGGGAGGTCAAGAACCCTATCCGTTAGCGCTCTTTCACGGGATCATTCATCCTCCTCCTTCTTCCGCATTATTGTCTCACATAGATTCATAAAAAGGGCCCAAACTTCATTAGAGCGAATGATCGCCCTCACTACCGCTTTGTATGTCCTATCGATTCCGACAATCTGAAGTAAATCCCCCCTCTGCTCCGCCCAAGCTGGACAGAACAGGAGAGTGTGCACCGCTGTATCAGTCGCTGCTCTGCAATACAGACACGTCGGAGAAGTCCGGCGTCCTATCCTGCAGAGGTAGGCCTCAAAAACGCCGTGCCCAGTTAAAATCTGGGTGACCCGATAAGTGAGGGCTCCATGTTCCCTATCCACCCAAACCTCAAGGTCCTCGACTATGGCGTCACGCACGATCGCACCGGGGCCACTGGACGGTAACCCTAACAGGCGCTCGCGCCACATCGCAATCGAGCGCCGGCGCTCCACCTCCAGGAAGGCATCTCTCGTGCGAGGGGATATCGCTCCGTCCCGAGCAATGATTTCTCGTCGGTGGAGGTATGATCTCCTCAATTTGTTGCATGCCAGGTCAAAGGGCACCATTCTAGCAAGAATGGCCGCCGCATCGTGCGAGACGGTGCGATATCCCCTTATCACCCTCAAGGCGAGCTGCCGCTGCAACCTACCCACATCCCGTAAAGTGGACCTACTGTCCATCACTGTTCTTGCCCATATAGGGGGACCGTACATAATGACGGCCATGACCGCCGTCGTGTAGAGACGTCTACGTCCCTCGCCCGGGCCACCTATATTGGCCATAATGCGCGATAACGATAAGGCCATTCGCCAAGCCTTCGGCATTAATAGACGGAAGTGATCCCGAAAGGTCCATCTTGAATCTATAGTTAACCCTAGATATTTTATCAAAGGACCAATCGGGATCACCTCCCCCTCACACGCAAGGACACTCCCTCGGGTATTTCAGCCGCGAATCTCACCGCCTCTGTCTTCGCAATTGAAACCCTCAGTCCTAATCTTTCTATCGTCCTAACCACAAACGTGGTCCCAATCTCTGCTATCACGCGCGCCTCCTCGAATGTCTCAGCGTTTGCTACCAGTAGGGTGTCATCCGCGTAGCAAAGAACCGCGCATCCTATCGGCAGCGTAAGCCTCAGTATCTCATCGTATCCAATGTTCCACAGGGTTCGGTCCTTGGACCAATCCTCCGCAGGTCATCGATCTGTTGACCAGTCGATCTCTCCAATCCACAAAAGACAGTCCCCGCCCGGACAGGTAACTGTCAAGGACGCTCCGAAGGTACCCCAGCACCTCCTTCTCCATCGAGGCCTTTCTTATAACCGACCACGGGAGGGAGTTGGACGCGTTCGCTATATCCAGAGATAAAGCGATCGCGACCCCCCCTCTCCCGCAGGTTTCCATCAATGCGTTCCCGAAGACTCCCGAAGATTGTAGATCGATGCTTTCTGAAGCCGTACTGTCTCTCCGCAATATCTTCGGTACTGTCCAGATGTGCGCGCAACCTACCCGCTAAAACTCTCTCAAATAGCTTGCTCGCCTCGCTCAGTAGGCAGATAGGTCTATAAGAGGATGGGGAGAGCTCCGGCTTACCTGGTTTCTTAATTAAGACCAATTTGGCCGTTTTCCATGATCGCGGGAAATGCCCCCCCCCCCTGAGGCATTCGGTGAAGCATCTCGCCCATAAGGGGGCGAGGTGCTCTAGCGTGGCCTTGATCACGCTGCCCGCTATTCCGTCCGGTCCCGGTGCCTTGCCGGCTTTAATGTTGGTTCCGGCCTCTATTACCTCTTCGATAGTGACAGCAAGATCATCCCGCCATTCGAAAGTCGTACCGCCGTTCCGCGGGATTCGGTCCACCGGGAACAATGTGGCAACTATTTCTTCTACTATCTCAGGAGGAAGCACCTCCACAATCGAGACTCCACCCGAGTGGAGCTTCTTCATTACAACTCGGTAGGGAGTTCCCCATGGATCCCTATCGAGGTCATCAACTAATTCTCTCCACATCCTAGCTTTATACCTAAAAATAGCTTTTCTTAATTCGCGTCTAGCCTCACGCAATGCGTCCCAACGTGCCCTAATTGTCTCAGGTTGGGGGTTCCTACGCGCTCGTTCCCGTATCAACCGTCGTCTAAACCGATTACAGGCACGGCGGAGCTCGGCAATATCCGAATTCCACCAATATACGGAGGGCCTTTTCGATATGCCCTTTCTAGGCATCGAAACGTCCGAGATTTCGCGAAGAGCCCGATCTAAGTATTTCGCATTAATTATCGCGCGATCCTCCAACCTGTAGCTCCAAATCGAATGGATGGCCGCCGCCTCCATCAGGTCCAAGTTGATTCGACCGCTCACCCATCTTGGAAATGCCTTAAGGGCCGTTTTCCCGACGGTTGGTCCGATGAGGGTAGCTTCCACCTCCATCGTGATATATTTATGATCCTACAATGACTCCAACTCCGCCTCCACACGCCATGCCGAGATCTTTCCTATCGCCGATCGAGATGGTGATATCCACACATGAAGCTCCCCTCGGATGTACGCATGTGGGTTCCGTTCCAACATTCAGTAATTGGAACACCACGTGTCCCATCCAATTTATCAGGATTCTCCCTCTTCTATTGGATTGTCCTGGGTCCCAGGCAGGAGCTCGAGCGTTAAAGTCGCCCATGACGATGAAAGGCCGACCGCGCTCGTCCAATAACTTAATTTCCAGTTCCCGGATGTCCCGTATGAATTCTGCATTATTGAGGTTTGGTGGGAAGTAGCACGAGACCACAGTAACGTTTCCCCAGTCCACGGCCGCAAACCTTAAACCCCTCCAGCGTGGCGAACAGGGAGTCCTCGAATCACCCCACTGCCATGTTATAGCGGCAGAAGGGGGGCTATCTGTTGATACCAACCACTTGGCATTCTCCGCGATATGATTGGGCTCCGATATCGCAACAATTCCTATTCCAAGCTCTTCGCTTACTCTGCCGATTAGGTCCTGCGAAGGCCTGGACCTATTTACATTAATCTGAGCCGCCTTAGCCATCGCAAACCTCCATGACAGCAGGCTCTGCATCCACAAGCTCCGGGGCTCCCCGATCAACCCCGGTAGACGTCTCCCTCACTTCCTTAACACTTGCCTCTGGGTCAGCTGATGTTTGACCTCGTCCATTGTAAAGAACGCATTCAGGGGCTCCTGCACGGTGCCCAGCCGCTAAACCCCTAGACACACAAACCGGACATCTCGGTGGTAGATTGCACCCAATAGCCTTGTGGCCGTCATTTCCACCGCACTTGAAGCACCAGCTGGTGCGATCTATTAGACTTAGGCAATTTGTTCTCGTATGACCGACCGCAAAACAACGAAAATATTGGAGTCTTCGTTTGGCCAGGGGGATGACTCTGGCCATGGACCAACCCAACCTAATTTTTCCGGCTTTAATAAGGTCGTTCGCTCATGGGAGAGGACACTGCACCCAGATGGTGTTCAAACCACCGCGTCCTGGCCTAAAGAGTCCCACTCTAACGTCTAGTCCAGATATCTTACCATATTTAGCAATGGCAGCAACCACCTCCTCCATTGTAACCGATTGGTCTACATCGGTAAGCCTAACTTCGGCTCGTCGAATCGGTTGCACAACGTTCATCTCCTTGGAGTGTGCGCTCTCGGCAATAACAGTCCTTAGTCTACCGACAAGGGCATCCGCCTTGGCTCTGGCCTCTTCTCCTCCGGGAATCTCAATCAGTAGACCACCTGCCTGTGCCCTTCTGATCCGGGTGTTGGTGATTTCTAGATCCTCCAAGGCAATCTTTTCCCTCGCCAGGCGCATAATTTCAGCGTAGGTAGGTGGGGGTTTTCCTTCCGTTTCGATACACTTCACAAGTACCGCCGCCGTTCTTTGCGCCCGAAAACGGGGATCCCTCGTAGTTGAGCGCCTCGGAATGTCCTTCAGCCCCACAGGGGGGAGGGGAGGGTCCCACGCGGTCCCCAAGCCCATGGTGGACGCCCACCACCTCACCCCCGGGAAGGGAGCAAGTCTCCCTCTAACGGTACCGGGTCACCGGGATTTGTAGTCAGAGTTACCTTCTCCTACCGGTACAATGGGGGATCGCCTTAAAGGGACGATCCCCCCAGGACTCTCGTCATCCGAAGAGGACTGGGTCCCTTAGTACCGGACCTGGTTGTGCAGACCCCTCCTATTTAACGAAGGGATCCGCACGGGGCACTGTTAGACCCCCGAGCGCAAGTCCCGACCGGTTGCCCCCGCCAGTAAGCGCCGGCGGTAACCCCGGCCGCAGGAGCAGCACCCGGGGGATCCCCCACGCCACGGCAAGGCCGTGCCCCACGTGGGGGAATAAAGAAGAAGGAGTTGAAGACTCCACTCTCCCGTGACCCGTCCAAATTTCGCCTAGAGTGGTTCCGCAACCATAGGCTCCGCGTACGGACCAACCTGCCCTTCACGGGAGCTACCTGGTCGCTCCATCTCGTTATAATTTCTACATGGTCCCTCAGGTTCATTGTTCTAGAGGGACCATGGTTCGCGTGCCACCTCCGATTGTTTTATGTAGGGTGAGGTGGGGCCCCCACTATGGCAGACGACTGTGTTGCCAAAACAGCAGCATACTCCGCAAGCAGG